TAAAATCGGGTTTAACGTCGCGTCCAAGATTATTGCACTTATATGGCGACGTGCATGCACGTGTGTCTGCTTGTACTATCGGACTGATAGTGCTAGCACACTGAGATACCATGCCACAGTTTAACATGAATACCCCACTCAGACACAGTATACTGACTCCGAGCCGACCAGTCCTTGTTTTAGCCCCTTAATGCCGAGCGCCCGACAGGGTACCACAAGTACCATCTTTTAACGTCTTTTGGTATTTCGCGGCCGGGGATCGAACCCCGGACCTTCCGCTCTCCGGGCGGACGCTCTACCACTAGACCATCACTGAAGCTATTGCGCAACATTTATAACACTTAGACTGCAGGCAGTAGGACTTTCCGGGCCCTCATCTCCCCGGGACCCCATCCTCTGCAACACATCCATGATTCACACATTGTCTACATTGCCGACAAAGCTGCTCAAAATGTCAGCGTGTCCATCGCCTGTTCTCAACCGACAGGAATGGAAACTCAAGGGAGGTAACCGCTGACGAATTGCATAAAATTGATCCCAGTCCAAAACTTTCCCTGAAGTAAGTGTACACTGATCTGTTGAGAAAATTACATCGTCGGATAAAAATGATATACAAAGCCATTTATCATGAATAAAGCTCTTTAATATAACCAGTTGGGGATTTCATTAATTTAGAATCCAAAATGATATTGTTCAATGAAAGGGAAATAACAGTCCCCGTATTATTATTATTGTTATTATTGAGGTTAAACGGGCGTGTGACACGTGTCCTAATGAATACACACATTTTCAATTTTGCTAATAGCATTGATTATAGTGTATGGTCCGTGGAGTATAGACTTGCACAAGTCTTGAAGGCAATAATTATTAGTTTAAGTCATAATTTCCAGATTATATAAACAATAAGAGTAAGTTAAATCTTTAAAGCACCGGCGCCATTAATCCATCCCTGTCCGCTTATCTGGACTCGCCTATAATAAAAAAAATATAATTACTACAAATCCAGGGACCCGTGAAGATCCGGGGTAGAATAGGTTTTCAGCAACCCAAGTTTGCCGTAAACGGAGACTATGCTTATCGCAAGAGGCGATTGACGGGATCTGGTGGTCAGGCTCACTGACTTGGTTGATGCATGTCATCGTATCCCGATTGCGTAGATCAATGCTCATGATGTCAATCACTGGATTGTCTGGTCCAGACTCGATTATTTACAGACCGCCGTCATATAGCTGGACTATTGCTGAGTGCGGCGTAAAGCAACAAACCAACCAACCACCCAACCGTAAAAGGTGACTATGCTTGTCGTAAGAGGCGAGTGACGGGATCGGGTGGTCAGGCTCACTTGACTTGGTTGATGCATGTCATCGTATCCAAATTGTGTAGATTGATGCTCATGCTATCAATCACTGGATTGTCTGGTCCAGACTCTATTATTTACAGACCGCCGTCATATAGCTGGAATATTGCTGAGTGCGATGTAAAACACCAAACAAACAAGCATATTATAAGGATAGAATTACTGCACATCCATGGTCTTATCATTCAGTACAGACTTGGAGCAAGGCTACGTGAAGTGAAACGACGAGATGCCCGCGTCACAACAGATGTGCGCCATCTCTATCTCCATGGAAACGCTTCTATCATGATAAAGCCAGCATCCCCATCAAGTTGGACACGGGCATATAAACATGCCGGAATGAATTTTATCAAAACTGCATAAAACCATTGTTATCATATATTAATCAGTTTACGAAGCAGAGCGTCAGTTGTCATTGAACAAAATGGATTTTGGACATTTGCGTTCGACGATCTCTGTCTCATTCTTTGTGCTCTCGCATGTTTTGCTCGAGTGTCAAATTACATTTCTGTGTAACGCGCAGCCTCAAACGAGGAGCAACTGGTATTAAAGTGGCAAAAAATCTTTCGGCACTGGGAACCTCCATACCTTGTTTTGCTCGGTATTCCCAACTCCATGTGAAAGTCGATTTTTTCTGATTTAACATACATCGGAGGTAACGGTTCCAGAGACTTATGGAAACAGACCCACACTCCACAATGCTGGAGCAAAGTGCACTCCATCAGGCAAATACAGGAACTTGTTATTGGTCAGTAACTAAAACTGTATACCTCCTTTATAAGCTACTTACATAAAGGGGTGCAATATATTTACTGACAGTAACGAGTTCAGTGAAAGTACACCCATGTTAATATTCCGGCGAAATCCACAGATGCATGGTCCCTGCAAGACTAACACCTCGTCAGTGAAAACATTTCCTAAAATAATTATTTATTTTTTTCTTCGAAATAACCTTTCCTCTTCTGCTTTTTTTCATATGTGAATCGAGGAAACTAGACCTGGTTTAATTTGATCTAGACTTGACTAGGTTTTTAGTAAAAAAATAGAAATGTACATATAGGCGTCAAGGCGCAAGACGCCACTGATCCCCATTGCATTGTTTTCTTTGCCGTGCCTACAGATGGAGAGACGTCTCATGTTGTAAACATGTCAACACCCTCAGACCGCTGAGCAGATTAACATTGGACTGACGTTAAGTCTATGAAAATATACAATTTTAAAACTACATTTAAATTAAAATGAGCCCGAGTTAGATTTAGGCCTGAACCTGTGGAAAATGTATTGTGCTTCATATAGAACTAACATAGTCTGTCTTACAGACCCTGATACAAATATATATCAAATACAGCCCATGCAAGTCTATAATGTTTGGCAAGTCTAGATCACTGCAGTATCATGAAGAGAGTCACTGGGCTCCTTTTTATTATATTTTTATTAAGATAACTGAACAACTGGGTTTTTTTATGTACGATATGTTCATTTCAGAGACTAGATTTTAGTCTAAGAACTAACAGTACAGTAAGGGCTGAGCGGAAAGGGGGGGGGGGGGGGGGGGGGGGGTATATATGGTACAGGGATTGAGAGGCAGACTATCCCATCATAGGGTCGACTGACTGTTGACTGGCATTGGTCCTGATGAGAGGAAACGCTCCAGCGGTCGCCCCTGTCCTGCTCCTCTAGACCTGCGATCGATTAACCAGACAGCCTACATGCCTACATGCCTACTGCTGTGCACCAATGACGCCTGGAAACATGCATTTGACATCTATATAGGTCGTCCTTCCCGTTCCTCTCGTCATGCGAATAGTGAGACAGCCTACAAGTATCCGGCTGTATACCAGTGATGGATTGTGCAACGACAAGCGCGACCTTCAGACTCCCGTTTAATCTCTCAAAATATATAGTTTTGATAAAGGAAAAAAAACTCCATTTAAATTGAAACAGAGACCGAGTGGGATAGGACGAAAATCTAGACTTGATTCATTTAGAGCGGAAGGGGGGATAGTATGGGACTGGAGACGCAGGCGTACCGTCAGATGTACCTGTTTAACGGATATGGACAACTGAATTGAGTTTGTTTTTGTTTTTTTGTTTAACGCCGCACTCAACAATATTCCAGCTATATGGCGGCGGTCTGTAAATAATCGAGTCGGGACCACACAATCCTGTCATTGATATCATGTGCATCGATCCTCGGAATTTGGATACGATCATATGCATCAGCCAAGTCTGCGAGTCTGACAAACGGATCCCGTTAGACGCCTCTTACGACTATGAATGAATGAATATGGTTCTACGCCGCTTTAAGCAATATTCCAGCAATATCACGGTGGGGGTGGGCACCAGAAATGGGCTCTTACGACAAGCATGGGTTGCTGAAGACCTGTTCTACCCCGGATCTTCACGGAATTAAGATGTGACCCAAACTGATACCTAACTTATCAAAGACACTACACGTGCACGACCAAGAGTCAGTCTATTTCGTTACTGTTGGTCACATCTTGGACTGTCATCAAAGTCCCCGAAATAAAGTTATGTAAAAATAATTAATAAAATAAGTCTAAAGTACCATTATTCGCCTCAAGTTTCTAAAATTACTATATCCTCCAGTGGTCAGAATGTGCTCGGATCTGAGCAGAGATTGTGAAGTTTCAAGTTACAAAATGACATTCCATTAACAGACTCAGTGCTGGTCCATATGCCGAGGGGCCTTGGGATGGTGGACATTTAAGACAGATAACGGAGATCATATTACCAAGCAAAAACCACTGTGTAATAATTGGTAGGTTGGTTGGTTGTTAAACGCCGCACCCAGCAATATTCCAGCTATATGACGGCGGTCTGTAAATAATCGAGTCTGGACCAGACAATCTAGTGATTGATATCATGAGCATCACTGTGTAACAAAGTAAAATGGGATTCAGTCTACAAGAACTGAGGAGGGGACGGGGGTGGAACCGGGGCGAGTGTTTTATTCTCTATGAAGTATATGCGCAGGGATCTGTATGGAACCAGTCTATCCGACGCGTCCAGATGTTGTATCCAGCTTACAAATGACATTCTTCCGTACATGCGAAATAACCGAAATACTTCATATTGCTTAATACCATCCCCTTTTCTATTGTGTTTAAGACTAGTAATGAACAGGTTACTTATCCATCGTGCCACACAAAAAAAGACCAGCTGTCAATCTCAATAGCAACACTCCAATCTTAAATATACACATCTATTTGTTAGTACCCCATCAACGCATGGGGTTTTGAGAGAAAAGACAAAATCTTCCAGTCTCCTGAAACGAAGACGTTAAAAGGGAACCATTTCCTTTTTTATTTCTTTGTTGGTATCTTGACTATGGTTGAGATAATCCACACATCAGATAATCAATCTGATGCAGGCCAAGATAAGCCTTCTGTGTGGGCACTGCTTTGCATCCCATATAAAAATATAGGAGCCCAGGCATCTAACTCGGCGGATATGATCGACGAGATAAATTGGAAAACAATCAAGCAGAATACAGGATTTTTTCAGCTTTGCACTGCTCTGGTGATCGATTGAGCTCGCAAATGAATCTCGTTTTGCAGTCGCACTAAATCCTGTCCAAGGTTTAGACTCACCATCACGGAATGAAGAACACAAACCACACTTCTAAGTAACCATTCGAACCGCACGGCTGTTCAGCAATGGCTTTTATTAAAGTGGAAAATAAAATAAAAGTTCACAAATGTGAGCAATGTTATGGAATTACAAATAATAACTGTCATGTGCCGCACAGTTTGTGCATATATGTATCAAGCATGAGGCAACGAGATGATGGGACTCCGATGGTCACCCGCTGGACCAGCCGCGAGGCACGTGCCAACTAGTGACGTCATCAGTTTCCTGGCTTCACATAACTATGGAAATCACTTCCCTTGTTCCGCTTTCTCCTGTTCAATAGCTGAAAAAGAGAATTAAAGTTAGATAAGAGTGATGTACATCGAGTCAAGAACAATACATAAAAAGATTTACCGTCCAAAAATCTATAAGGGGTTGGAAGATATTTTTTTCTTGTCTTTTCCTTTGCTCTATTTTCAGTTGTTTTTTTGTTTTGTTGATTTTTTTCGGGTTTTTTTTTTTTGGGGGGGGGGGGGGGGGGCATATGTTTGAAAGTTAGCGAGAGGTGGGATAGGGAAAAAGGGAAGACGGGGCTTGATATATAGTAGGGCTGGATATACGGGGATTGGAAAAGAAAAACGTCAGAGGGGGATATAGAGGAGGTGACGAGATATGAAGGATTCAAAAGGTTGATAGGTTATGGAGAGATAGGGGATGTGGAGAGATAGGGGATGCAAAGAGAGGGTTGGGATGGGGTTGGTTGGGGGAGGAACGAAGGAATGGGGCAATGGAGGTTCTGCTGAAGCAATTTTCATGAGCCTTAAAGTCCAATGTCTGTAGTTTCAAAATGTGCTTTAGCATTGCAAAAAGAATATGCACATCAACCGTGATATGAATGTCAGATTCGCATTTTCCCCGCATTAAAAAGCAAATATACTAACAAATAATTACATAAAGTGCGCCAGCCACTCCCACCTCCAAAATGGCAAATGGCAATGTCAGTCCATCCATTATATCTGAGTACAGAGGACCCGGGAGAAGACAGGATTTATTTCAACCAGATATTGGCAATGTGTCAATCGCTTCTGCAAAAGAACTGTTCCCCAATCGCCAAAGACCTCACTCGTGTCATGCAGGTCAAAAGCGACCGCCAATTCTATGTGCACCCATGGGAACTAGTCCGAGCGTGAGGACCCCCCTACTACAAACATCTATCTACTATAGACGGCAACACCACCACCCCTCCACGCCCCAGGAAGTAGGTCAACCCCTCCCCAGTCCACGCCGAGCCTCAGTCCACACAAAGAAAATAAACACTATAAACCCCTGCCCCAACACTTAAACAAAGGATTTCTCCACCCACAATAAACGAAAGTGTTCACGTCGAGTCGGACATAATTCACCACACACCCTATCAACCGATCCGAACCCTTTACTGCAGTGCATCATAAACTGCATTTCTTATGTAGTGAAACTCGCAAAGTAACCTGCTGCATTGCTAGGATGTTCAATGAATGTTTACTGAAGAGAAGAGGGATGCGAAATGCCGTTAAAACAGGAAAATGTTACAGCTTTTAATCACTTCTCCGTCATGGATCACAATACACATTACTAATATCGGCGCTCGTGTCCCACAAGCATTGAAGCGGAACATTTCCCTTATGCAGTGCCTTATCATACAACGTTATCTCACAGCATACACACAAAGAAAATTAGTTCTATTCTACCCGATTTTGACAACGCCAGTTCACGAACGCAAACGTCGGACCTATTAAGCTTCCCTTTCAGTCTCGTCTGGTTATGGGGCGACAAACAAAGCGGGAAAAATATAGTCAGCGCTTTTTATTTCCAAACAAGTCATCAATTAAGCCAGGCTGTGTACAAGCAGCGTGTTGCCTCTTTTCCCTCGGGGCCGAACACGTCAGTGAAAGTTTGCTCCAAATAAACATCGTACATGTTAACTTGGTCTATTATTTTTAAAAATGTCTCGTATTAACATTAACCCCGTCTGAGCTACAAGTATTACGATAAACATCTAGGACCGAGTCAACACGAACAGATCATTAGCACATAATATATTACTACAGCGACAGCGCAGAGTGAGTAAGCCCTGCTACGAGAGGGGTTACATCACCAGCTTGTCAGTGTGTAATCGGACTCTGTGACCGGGCGCCCTGACAGAGGAAGGGTTAACTCGCCATAGCGGAGAGGTTGGCAGGAGAAGAAACTCTCGCAGTCACAGTAACCCGACTCAAGAATCTGGCTCAGTTTTCAAGGCCGCTCCTAGCCAGGAAGGCCAGACGGCGTTTGACTTCCTGGCCACGCTGGTAACACACTTTACAGGCCGCTTTTCGATAATCTTCACTTTCATCTCAAGTCTTTCACTCCCTATATCTGCAGACATCCCCTTGCAGAAACAGATTACCAGATACTCCGCGTAACAAACACAGGGATTCATGATTACGTAAGATCCAGTGCGATTCCTTATCAGCCATCACCACCAACCCTTCTCGTCGATCCCGCGTTTATCGTGCTGTCACATTTGCCCCGCGTGCGTTTCGGATCCCTCATCAACGCCCGATGTGTAACAAACCCCCGAAAAATTGATTAAATAGCCATTTATTTGCAGAAATCGCCACATACTCATAACATTATGAGCGGTCACGCCCTTGCAGATGGTGCGTTGTGCTGGGCCTGCTATGAGCAACGTCTCAATCGATACATTAGAATCTCGTACACACAGCAGTGTTGGAGCGGTGTACGTATATTCACTACATTATGAAGCCTTATTGTAACCCGGCGCACATTGAGATTCGCTCAAGAACGCGAAACAAATCTGGATAAAATCGCGAGTGAACAATCATAGGGTATTCCTGTCCGGAGTCTTTCAACCATATCCGCACTACATACGTGAGTGACCCCGCTTAGAGTTATTGGAAGGGGATAGGGAGAGAAGGAATGCTGTATACATTGAGAGCATTTCTCCAGCATCAGTTTAGGACATCGATTCAGTTCGAATACTGAGTACAAGTTATTCATTGTTTATGAATGTCATAAGTTACTCCTGTTGCAGTATATACTGACATTGTCACTGAATAAGAATAATCAATGATGTATTTATAACCACAATTTAAAAGATTCGGCAATATAGACGCAGGCAACTTCATACATAGGGGCTATGCAATCATTTCATGGAGATTAAAATTATGATTACGAAATGTTATCTCACTCTCTTTCGTTGGTAATGAGTTCTTTTCTGATGTTTCCGTCTTCTTCAACTTGCCCTTGTCGAATGTTGCGACTTCAGAGATGTCAGGTTTGTCACTCATGTTGGACTATAAGGGAATCTGTAACAAAAAGTCAAAAACACAAGTGAGGTCCTGCCGTTGACAGACAGACTGCGTTTCTCTCCAGACAGGGAGGGTCTTTGTTCCAGACATCAAACATCCCCTCCCTGCTTCCCCCTCCCCCAGCAGGCAGCCGCAGATCGATAACGGCGTCTACCAGCCACAAAGGATGCCACAACGGGGCTCCAGTCGATGTGTTTGAATTTCACATTACTAGAAATATTCCTAATTGTGTTAAGCAAATATGACATGGTGTATTTCCTCGGCTGCCGAATATGCACTGTGCATTCATCTGAACAAACAGTAGATTTAGGTACTGGATTTGATCAAACATTGATAGGAGACGTCTCGCCCAGAACTCTCGATATTAAAATTTTAATAATATAATTATGAAGAATTTGGGTTAGGATTAATGCTAGATGTAATAACAGGTAAATTTAAGGTTTATCATTTCAGCTTTATCGTAAAGTTGTATACTTACCAGGAGAATGAGAAAAGTGTCGTCTGCGTTGGCCGTCTGCTTGAGCTGTACTAGTCTGAAGTCGTCAGCGACAGGGAACTGAATCACGGCGCAGTAATACAAATGAGCGCGGACTTCTCACTTCCCGCGGATTGTTATAAACATAGAGAAGCATACGAGACGACAACACGGCTTATATACAAAATAAGTACGCAGGGAATAGATTTCACATTAATGCCGTTATAACAAAGTACGTTTAGTGTTTCTGAAGAGGCCACGCCTTTTTTCCAGAAACATGTGGGATCTATTTTGTCTTCACGCATGATTCATCGGCGATGTGTCAAGGAAGCATAGCATAACACATGGGGGCCAATAGGAAAACTGTCATTCCAGTCTGATATCATTGTACAGTTTATACACTGTTTGAGTCATGTGCTGAGGAAGTAAATGTGTTCGTATTTTCTAAAAATGTGAAATTTAAAAGTGCGAGTTGCCATGGTAATTTTCAAAAAGGTCATGGCTGCTTCAGGAAAATGAATGAATGGAATGCAAAGAATCCAGACAGTGATTTAAAGAATCGTCCGTCAGAGTAACAGCCGGCCACATGCCCCATTTCTTACTAGAAAAACATCTGGGGAGTAGAGAAGGGATTATTCCTGGGTGGGGAGTACGGCGAGGATGATATGATATGGGAATGATAGCGTTACATGGTATGTGCATTTGGATGATCTTTTGGGCGGGACATCATATCGTGTTTGTTATGATTTTCAATGCCGGTGACTCGGGAAATTAATATTCTTGGGAATTCTAATATTTTCTTAATAATGTTCAATGTTATCATTTCCATTCTGATTATTCACTATGATCCCTTATGAGCATTCTTAGTATTACATACCATTAGCCTACATAACCATCCTCATCATCGAGGGAAGTATGTATGGGGAGATTGCCCAAGCGATGTTTAAGGAGCGTAAGTGGACTTATAAATAATTTGTAGAGCCGTAGACGGGTTTCTCAACTGTTTGAGAGTTTGCACCGAGATCCTGCCTACAATTACAGTCTATAGACACATTCTCCTGTGTAGCTGAAACGACGCATGGAGTGCTGGGACGCACCCTCTGTTTCGGTCATTGCTGTGCAGGAAAACAAGTAAAGTCCGATATTTTTTGGGTAAAGAGAAGGCTTGACTGGGCCATGGAATCCGCGTATAATACGTAGGCATATGTTGTGTCGCCAATGATCACAACTTATTTATGACAACTGTTCCCCTCGTCTGTCCTCTCTGTAAATAGTCCCGGCATAAACCAATATTTTGTCCCGAACACTGTCCAACATGCGAGACCACGTGGGTTAATCAAGGTCCCTCAGTTTTCATTTCACATTAGCCGGAGGTAAATATTGAAGTGCTTTGCAACATAGATCGCCGTAGACACCTGTATTTACACCCGAGACACGGATTAACGACCGACAGCGTACCCCCTGCACTGCCTCGCGCTCACGTGAAAATGGTGCTGGATGCACGCGCTGCATGCACCAAGGGTGGTCCGAGAATGTCACGGGCAGAGCGGGTAATTACGAGAGACACAACATGTTGTGTTGGATATATGTGTCAGATTGACAAGGATGTTCCTATGTGAAATAGTCGAGAATGACTGCCAGTCATGACGTAAATCATTTTCCTTCTTTCAAAAGAGCAGTTTGACATTTATATAAAACTTATAAAAAATAAATGGGAGACCAAATATGTCGTTATATGAAAATACAGTGGTACCGTATTTCCGCACTCGTTTTTTCCTTGAAAGCCAACATTTGCAACACATTGTACACAATAGGACTGATTGAAATATTTGTTTCAGCCAATGTTCATGATGTTTATAGTTCGTCGTACCCTACAGCCACACACCGAGTTAAATGTATTTATTTTAGGAGCGTATATGTTACAAACGGTGGCTGATATAAATCCATGCGGGAAAGATCGAGCTTCTTTCTCGACAACTGCATTATTGATTTCTTACGGGAAGACAAGTTTATTGTTATAAAGCTTCTAAGCTGGGATCCAATACATGTATCACTTTAAGTACACGCACATTAACACTGACATAGCGCCAGAAAAACTTCAATATTGCTTAAATGACGGGTATTTATTCGCTATAAAAATATGGTATCCTTAAATATTACTTCTATCCATGTAACCGTGCAGCATGACTGTGGAATATATGTATTTTATAAAACCAGAACCAATCTAAGTTATAAAAAGAGAGTCGAGCCAGCTCTAGGAAATAAGAATAAGAAAATAGACGTTGTTGGAGAGAATTTTATTGCGTAGTAAAATAGTTCATAGACTGCATGTTAGTCTGCTATCCATGTCGACCTTCATAAAAACGCCTTGTATCGTAATGTAGACGTACAAAAAGACAATCGTAATGTAGATGTACAAAAGACAATCGTAATGTAGACGTACACAAATGTGAAACGAGGTCCAGTTCGCCATGTTGTTTGCGGGGTATGATGATCAATGTTGTCCAAATATGTGGGAAGTGGATACAGCGACTTTTGGCCTCAACCTGGGATGTGGGTAGTACGAGTCTTGTGTACACCTGGGATGTGGGTAGTACGAATCTTGTGTCCACCTGGGATGTGGGTAGTACGAATCTTGTGTCCACCTGGGATGTGGGAAGTATGATTCTTGTGTCCACCTGGGATGTGGGTAGTACGAGTCTTGTGTCCACCTGGGATGTGGGTAGTACGAGTCTTGTGTCCACCTGGGATGTGGGTAGTACGAGTCTTGTGTCCACCTGGGATGTGGGAAGTATGAATCTTGTGTCCACCTGGGATGTGGGTAGTACGAATCTTGTGTCCACCTGGGATGTGGGTAGTACGAATCTTGTGTCCACCTGGGATGTGGGTAGTACGAATCTTGTGTCCACCTGGGATGTGGGTAGTACGAGTCTTGTGTCCACCTGGGATGTGGGTAGTACGAGTCTTGTGTCCACCTGGGATGTGGGTAGTACGAGTCTTGTGTTCACCTGGGATGTGGGTAGTACGAGTCTTGTGTCCAACTGGGATGTGGGTAGTACGAGTCTTGTGTCCACCTGGGATGTGGGTAGTACGAGTCTTGTGTTCACCTGGGATGTGGGTAGTACGAGTCTTGTGTTCACCTGGGATGTGGGTAGTACGAATCTTGTGTCCACCTGGGATGTGGGTAGTACGAATCTTGTGTCCACCTGGGATGTGGGTAGTACGAATCTTGTGTCCACCTGGGATGTTGGTAGTACGAATCTTGTGTCCACCTGGGATGTGGGTAGTACGAATCTTGTGTCCACCTGGGATGTGGGTAGTACGAATCTTGTGTCCACCTGGGATGTGGGTAGTACGAATCTTGTGTCCACCTGGGATGTGGGTAGTACGAATCTTGTGTCCACCTGGGATGTGGGTAGTACGAATCTTGTGTCCACCTGGGATGTGGGTAGTACGAATCTTGTGTCCACCTGGGATGTGGGTAGTACGAATCTTGTGTCCACCTGGGATGTGGGTAGTACGAATCTTGTGTCCACCTGGGATGTGGGTAGTACGAATCTTGTGTCCACCTGGGATGTGGGTAGTACGAATCTTGTGTCCACCTGGGATGTGGGTAGTACGAATCTTGTGTCCACCTGGGATGTGGGTAGTACGAATCTTGTGTTCACCTGGGATGTGGGTAGTACGAGTCTTGTGTTCACCTGGGATGTGGGTAGTACGAATCTTGTGTCCACCTGGGATGTGGGTAGTACGAATCTTGTGTCCACCTGGGATGTGGGTAGTACGAATCTTGTGTCCACCTGGGATGTGGGTAGTACGAATCTTGTGTCCACCTGGGATGTGGGTAGTACGAATCTTGTGTCCACCTGGGATGTGGGAAGTATGATTCTTGTGTCCACCTGGGATGTGGGAAGTATGAATCTTGGAGTTCACCTGGGATGTTGGTAGTACGAATCTTGGTGTTCATTTGGGATGTGGGTAGTACGAATCTTGTGTCCACCTGGGATGTGGGAAGTATGAATCTTGTGGCCACCTGGGATGTGGGAAGTATGAATCTTGGAGTTCACCTGGGATGTGGGTAGTTGGAATCTTGGTGTTCATTTGGGATGTGGGTAGTACGAACCTTGTGTCCACCTGGGATGTGGGTAGTACGAATCTTGTGTCCACCTGGGATGTGGGTAGTTCGAATCTTGTGTCCAGCTGTGATGTGGGTAGTTCGAATCTTGGTGTTTATTTGGGATGTGGGTTGTACGAATCTTGTGTCCACCTGGGATGTGGGTAGTACGAATCTTGTGTCCACCTGGGATGTGGGTAGTACGAGTCTTGTGTACACCTGGGATGTGGGTAGTACGAATCTTGTGTCCACCTGGGATGTGGGAAGTATGAATCTTGGAGTTCACCTGGGATGTGGGTAGTTCGAATCTTGTGTCCACCTGGGATGTGGGAAGTATGAATCTTGGAGTTCACCTGGGATGTGGGTAGTTCGAATCTTGGTGTTCATTTGAGATGTGGGTTGTTTGAATCTTGTGTCCACCTGGGATGTGGGTAGTTCGAATCTTGAATATTCACCTGGGATGTGGGAAGTATGAATCTTGGAGTTCACCTGGGATGCGGGTAGTAGATGCTTGGCATCTATCTGGGTTATGGGTAATGCCGTTAACGTTTTTCTGTAAATGTATTATTAATGCTTTTAAGTGAGTCTTGTACATTATGCCGCAATGTATGTGAATATATTGATCTCTGTCACCTCTCAACATGCTATGTCTTGTAGCCCTGAGTGAGATGAAGTTCAGTGCAGTTCATATGCTTGATGACCGCCTGGGTGTAGACAGAGCTAGTCTTGATGACCACTTGGGTGGTAGACAGAGCTAGTCTTGATGAACGCCTCGGTGTAGACAGAGCTAGTCTTGATGACCACCTGGGTATAGACAGATCTAGTCTTGATGACCACCTGGGTGCAGACTGAGCTAGTCTTGATGACCACCTGAATGTAGGTTGTGCGAGTCTTGATGACCACCTGGCTTTTGGATTATATCCATCCATACATAACCACCATATCATCCATTCTCGAGTACCATCTGTGTTGCGGATCTGGAAGAAACTGTTTCAGGAATTGTTTGGAATTTTACTTCTTGCATAGTTAACACGTGCATGGTCTACGCCAAAAGCAAATATTTTCAACCTCCCCGTAACCAATTGTTTTTAATACTAAATACTTTAATACTAAAAATGAGCGTATATCCCATCAGATAGTTAGATCTACTATAAATGTGTCTGACCCGTGAAGATACGGGTTAGAATAGGCCTTCAGCAACCCATGCTTGCCGTAAAAGGCGACAATGCTTGTCGTAACATGCGACTAACGGGAGGCTCGTTGACTTGGTTGATGCATGCCATCGATCCCAATTGCGTGGATCGATTTTCATGATATCAATCACTGGTTTGTCTGTTCCAGACTCGATTATTTACAGACCGCCGTCATATAGCTGGAATACTGCTGAGTGAGGCGTTAAACAACAAACAAACCAACCAACCAAATATGTCTCTTCCATAGGCTGCATATCGTTACTCGCTACTCATCCAGTTCACCTGTGTCTTGTGTGAAGTACGCGATTCATTTAAGCAGTTCAGTTGCCTTCACGCTCAACGAACACTGTCTTCAGTGATCCATTGTTCCATTGACTTCCCCACAGTCATAGGTTGTCCATCTTCCCGAGGCAAGAGAGTTAACTGACTATAAAAGTCCAGTTTCCACCCTTGCCGAACTAGGCTGGTGTTATGGAGTTACATTTTGGCTGGGCTAACGAGTCCATGCATAGTCCAATCAAAACCGCGCACTGAAATCAAAATCCGGTTCGTAAACTGTCGTGCAGATTTCGATCGATTGCAGAGTTTGCAAAGCATGTGCATCGCCAATTCGTTGTCAGCAGATATTTTCCAAATCCTTTCATGTTTTTAATCAAGGTGCTCACGTGATTTGATGCATTTCGCGATGTAAGACCCGTTTTATCACAATATAGATCTTGATTATCGATCAGATCGTCCTGAGTGGGCGCCACCATTTTGTGTGAAGCAAATGCAAGTGATACGAGAGGTGGAATCCGATTGGTCCATAGGAGAGGCTTAGAAAGGACATAATTGGAAATAGCCACTGGTGGCGCTACGGTCGAGCCCAGTAATTCCAGCCTAGTTCGGCAAGGGTGGAAACTGGACTTTTAAAGTCAGTTAATTCTCTTGCCTCGGGAAGATGTAGGTTGTCTCGCGTAGGCTACAATTATGGAGAATATGAAAGTTAACAACGGGTTTTCCGAGATAGTAGATCTTTTGTGAGTGCATATAAATCCCGCTAGGTATTGACACGTTTATGTATACAGTTTGTATATATGGAGTCAAAATGCATGAGACCCGTGAAGATCCGAGATAGAGTAGGCCTTCAGCATCCCATGCTTGCCGTAAAAGGCGACTATGCTTGTCGTAAGATGCGACTAACGGGATCGGGTGGTCAGGCTTGCTGACTTGGTTGATGCATGTCATCGTATCCCAATTGCGTGGGTCGATGCTCATGACGTCAATCACTGGATTGTCTGGATTGCTGAGTGTGGCGTTAAACAAAAAACAAACAAACAAACAATAAAGCAAAATAGTAAGAGACATGTTGTGTTGGAAAAACGGAGCAAATTGGCAAATATTTTTTTAACTTTTACGTTACCCCATCGGAATTCACAGCTCATAACTATCAGTATGTAGCATACTAGGGCTGGGACGGGTAACTCGGGTACCTGGGTCGGGTGGGTACTGAGTAGGACCCGGGTACCCACAGGACTACCCGGACCCGTGTTTAGTCACGTGATACATTGTTTAATGACAAAAACTATCCAGAATTCTATGGTTACTACTACACTATAGTCTTTCTGACTATGCACCCATTCCTTCTGACTTTTCAAATCTTTGACTAACGATATAAATTGAGTCAACTTCAGTGTATGCAGATTGTTTAATACATGTATGTTAATACGTTTTGCCTGTGCTATGGTAAAAAAAATGCCCAATCGGACATTTTGTACCTATCTCTTGAGACCTACAGTTGGTACCCGGTTAGGGTCTGGTATTAGGGGTGGGTGGGTACCCGAATTTACACACCGGGTAGTAAATTCGGACTCGTCCCAGCCCTATAGCATTCATGTCAGCACTGCTGGCTGTTCATGTTGCAGTGGAACATTGTTGATTTCATCGGGCAGCATTGTTTTCTTTTCGTTGGCTCACAGCTTGTCAATACAGCAGCATGCAGACTTTCACTCTTTATATATGGCGAGGCATTATTACGTTAAATTATTTTCTATACACCAGCTAGAACAACAATCATGTAGTTTTTTTAAACAAGCCGAATAATACATCATGTTTTATACACCAGACAGAATTATACACCATGTTTTATACACCAGCCAGAATTATACATCATGTTTTATACAACAGCCAGAATTATACACCATGTTTTATACACCAGCCAGAATTATACGCCATGTTTTATACACCAGCCAGAATTATACGCCATGTTTTATACACCAGCCGGAATTGTCAGCATGTTTTATACACCAGCCGGAATTATACACCATGTTTTATACACCAGACAGAATTATACACCATGTTTTATACACCAGCCAGAATTATACATCATGTTTTATACACCAGCCAGAATTATACACCATGTTTTATACACCAGCCAGACTTATACGCCATGTTTTATACACCAGCCGGAATTATACACCATGTTTTATACACTAGCCAGAATCACACACCATGTTTTATACACCAGCCGGAATTATACGCCATGTTTTATACACCAGCCAGAATTATACGCCATGTTTTATACACCAGACAGAATTATACACCATGTTTTATACACCAGCCAGAATTATACACCATGTTTTATACACCAGCCAGAATTATACGCCATGTTTTATACAACAGCCAGAATTATACGCCATGTTTTATACACCAGACAGAATTATACATCATGTTTTATACACCAGCCAGAATTATACACGATGTTTTATACACCAGCCAGAATTATACGCCTCTTTTATACACCAGCCAGAATTATACACCATGTTTTATACACCAGCCAGAATTATACGCCATGTTTAATACAACAGCCAGAATTATACACCATGTTTTATACACCAGCCAGAATTATACACCATGTTTTATACTCGATTATAATTATTTACAGACCGTCGTCTAAAGCTGGAATATTGCCGTGTGCGGCGTTAAACAAAAAACAAACAAACGAACAAACTAAGGCCGCTTTGAACATTATTTCAGTTAATTCATGGTGTAAAAAGTTAAAGTGGAAAGAAATCACGTGATGCAGGTCGGACGTTTACCACTTTTATGACACAATCGAAGACGGAAATGGTTCTGACAAACCAAGTATAACGACCCGGGATTTGAACCGACGGTTACAGGATCCTTATGGGGCACGGGTGGCCCAGTCGTCTAAGGCGCCGCGATTCGCTGTGAAGAGTTGCGTCCCTTGGGCACGCCAGAAACCTATGATTGTGGGTTCGAATCCCGGTTCGCCCTGATTATGTTTCTAGGTTTGTCAGCACCATACCCGTGTTCGTGGTTTTCACCGAAGTGGTAAACGTCTGAGACCTGCATCACTTCGGGCTTTCCTCCCACATTAAGCTGACACGTCGCGATATGACTGGAATAATGTTAAAAGCGTCGTTAAACCCAACTTACTCACTCACTCACTACAGGATCCTTAAAAGGCTTATGGCGCAACTACTCACAGCGAAGTAAATACCACATGCAATGGAAAAGAGACCTGGCGCGTATTTGTGTTATATCATCTATGTGTTTATTTACAGCTGTAATTAAACACATGCTGTGGTTTAGAGGTGCTCTGATGCTGTCGACCTATTATTCTCCCTGTATGAGGTGTTTACTCATCTTGTTGTTCTGACTCTCCTGATTACCCTGTGTATCTGGTTGGCATTGTATTCACGTGATACCTGCTAATATTGGTATCGATTATACACGTCTAATTAGTGACTTGTGTTGGAGAGGAGATGTGACCGACACTGCCTTGCTAATGCCTTCCGGCGGGTATTTTGTAACAGTGTTATACGAGTACAATCATATAGAATATTCATTTCCACCCTACTATTGATTTATACACATTTCGCCCCACACCCTGTTTCCTACTGCCATACCTATTTCTCAACTCTACCTCCATCCCGCCTAACCCTATACGTATTTCTCAACTTTACCTCCATCCCGCCTAACCCCATACGTATTCCTCAACCTTACCTCCATCCCGCCTAACCCCAAACGTATTTCTCAACCTTACCTCCATCCCGCCTAACCCCATACGTATTTCTCAACCTTACCTCCATCCCGCCTAACCCCTTAGTGTTCCTCAAGTCTACCTCCATCCACCCTAACCCCCATGCGTATTTCTCAACCTTACCTCCATCCCGCCTATCCCCATACGTATTTCTCAACCTTACCTCCATCCCGCCTAACCCAATACGTATTTCTCAACCTTACCTCCATCCCGCCTAACCCCTTAGTGTTCCTCAAGTCTACCTCCATCCACCCTAACCCCCATACGTATTCCTCAACCTTACCTCCATCCCGCCTATCCCAATACGTACTCCTCAACCTTACCTCCATCCCGCCTATCCCCATACGTATTTCTCAACCTTACCTCCATCCCGCCTAACCCCATACGTATTTCTCAACCCTACCTCCATCCCGCCTAACCCCTTAGTGTTCCTCAAGTCTACCTCCATCCACCCTAACCCCCATGCGTATTTCTCAACCTTACCTCCATCCCGCCTAACCCCTTAGTGTTCCTCAAGTCTACCTCCATCCACCCTAACCCCCATACGTATTTCTCAACCTTACCTCCATCCCGCCTAACCCCTTAGTGTTCCTCAAGTCTACCTCCATCCACCCTAACCCCCATGCGTATTCCTCAACCTTACCTCCATCCCGCCTAACGCCATACGTATCCCTAACCCAGACCTCCATCCGCCTTACCCCCGTGCGTATTCCTCAACCTTACCTCCATTCCATACCCCCTAACCCCATCACCGGCTACCTCAGCCTAACCTCCATTCCCCCCCCCCCCCCCCCCCCCCTCAACCTTACCTCCATTTTGCCTACCCCAATAAATTGTCCCTCACCGTAACCTCCCTTTCGCCCCACCCCCACACCTCAACCTCAACCTAACCCCAATCCGCCGCTCCCCATTGCCGACTCCCAAAACGTCACTTCCATTCCTCATACCCCCCCACCCACCCACCCACACACACACACATACACATCGACCCCACCCTCAACCTCCATCCCGCCCCATTGTGCTAACACCCCTGAAGCCCACTCCGCCCAAGGGACTACCGCACTGAACACGAGTGTTAGCATAAATGGGTAAATACAACGTATGCATAGCCCCGCTCCTATTTACATGTCCAATATTTTGTCATAACACTCACCAGTCCCTCGTTAAACTGCTTGTTACTACCTGCGGTTGGAAACCAAAGTAAACAACATCCATTCAGACATGTTACATATGTAGTCGACAGCAATCTGATTCAAACAACACTGAGTGTCTACTGTTATCCTGACCATACACACACCAGTATACTGTTATAAGAAAGATGTGTGTTATGGGGGAAACAGTGTTATTGCAAAGAGAAAAAGATGCATACAAAGAAAGTCAATGAAACAGCATATATTTGTGTTGGCATTGTTATATTGCAATCCACTTCAATAGATTTCTTTAAAACTTCAAATCACTGGATTGTTTTTTTATAGACCGTCGTCATATAGCTGGAATATTGCTGGGTGTGGCCTTAAACAACAAACAAACAAACAAACTCTGCAGTTCGCTGAACAGATTACTCCCCTTATCTAAATGAGTTCATTGATCGATGGATTTTAATCAAGATTCGTACCGAATATGTCGATCCTTCGGACTTTCCTCCCACATTTAACTTTCACCCCGTGATACCACTCGCTCACTCACTCACTCACTCACTCACTCACTCACACACACACTCACTCACTCACTCATGGGAACGGGATTTCAGGAGCAGGAAAACCTTCAATGTTTGAACATGTTGCGTAACTTTGTATCCCCAGTATACATGACATACAGCGACACCCTGCTAATTTGGATTTCGCTGTCCGGTTAACTGTTCGGATAAACAAGGTTTCACTGTGCATGATGGCGATGTTCGTGAGTGAGTGAGTATGGTTTTACGACGCCTTTAGCAATACTCCGGCAACATCACGACAGGGGACGACAGAAATGAGCTTCAAACAGTGTAGGCTACCCATGTCGGGAATCGAACCCGAACTTTCGGCGTGACGAGTGAATGCTTTAACCACTAGGCTACCCCATCGCCCCGCGATGTTCATGGTTGTGTCTGACATAGTTTATTGAAGTATCAGTATAAAGGACACTCTTGTCTGATATATTTATGAGCACGATGTCAAGAGTATTATGCGTAGACAGGTCACGTGACTTGTCGAGGCTCGGCGGAGAGGATGTTCTGATGAGAAAGGGAAGGAAGCGTGTGGCGACAGATAAAGCCAGGTCTCATCGTACAGCCGTCCATCTGGTCGAGTGCCTCCTGACCTGTGTGTACAGTACACGGACATATTTCAGGTCAAGTGTCATAGCAATAAATTCCCTCGCATAGTACAAATCCCAACATGTCTGATCCGGATTCCAGGGCAGAGATATTCATAACACAATATCTATTGCGTGCATTCCGATTGTATATTATGTATAAACATGTGCAATGAAACTCCGGACGTTGAGCTGGACGGTGCTTCTGTCAGTGAAAGCTTGATTGACACATTCCCGGAATAATTTAACGAATCATTCTCAGTAATGTCCAATCCGTGTACATATTGAGTGAGTGGGTATGGTTTTACGCCGCATTAAGAAATATTCCGGCAATATAAAGGAGTGACACAAGAAATGGGCTTTACACATTATATTCATTCGGGGTCGAACCCATGCATTCGGCGTGATCAGCGAACACTTTAACCACTTTGCCATCTCATCCTATCCCTACACCACCCCTTCTTTTGGCACACATGTTCAAGGATGTGGCTATAGCCTCCTCCACCTGTAAAGGCCTAATCAGCTGGGCTTCAAGTCTAATAGACTCCGCACTTACCAGTGGCAGTGAAATTAATGTAATTTGGGACATTTTTCAAATATAGGTAATTATGGTTAGTGTCTGCGTCTGTATGAGATCGGGTGTCCCAACAGGTGTCACAAACAGACCCCGGAAGAGGGTCTTTCAATTCTCAATTCTCAAATTGGGTGAGTAATATTTTTTGTTTTTTTTGTTCAACGCCGCACTCAACAATATATCAGCTATGTGGCGGCGCTCTGTTAATAATCGAGTCTAGACCAGACAATTCAGTGATTGATATCATGAGCATCGACCCACGCAATTGGAGACGATGACATGCATCAACCAAGTCAGCGAGCCAGAACTCTTACGACAAGCAAGGGTTGCTGAAGGCCTATTGGAACCCGGATCCTCACGGGTGTTCTATGCCGCAATCCAGTCAGCACTATGCAGTAATACCATGGTGGCCAGGAAGTAACGAGTTCGGACCAGGCACATTAATGGTTGATAGCGTGAGCATACACTACGCCGTCGGAGTACGGCAACACTCAACGTACCACGTCATTCGCCTCGTGCGACAAGCACACTGACTTCCAGTTCCAACCCCGAATCCCATCGGGCGCGTTGAACGATAATTTCAAACCTTACCCAGCCCGTGAAGATCCGGGGTAGACTAAATCTCCAGCAACTCGTGCTTGTCGTAAAAGGCGACTATGCTTGTCGTAAAAGGCGACTAACGGGATCGGGTGGTCAGGCTCGCTGACTTGGTTGAAGCATGTCATCGATCCCAATTGCGTGGATCGATTCTCATGCTGTCAATCACTGGATTGTCTGGTCCAGACTCGATTACTTACAGACCGCCGTCATATAGCTGGAATATTGCTGAGTGCGGCGTTAAATAAGGTGTAACTATGTATTTTCTGTTCTGTGGTGATGGCGCTTAAAGGTTTAAGCGCTGTTTTGTCACAAATTTGGGTTCGGCTCCCTCCGTCGATACAAACCCCATTCTTGGTGCCCACTGTGGTATTGCTGGAATGCGGCAATATGTAATACCCAACTCACTCACTCACTCACTCACTCACTCACTCACTCACTCACTCACTCGCCATGCTGGTAAAAGTTTTGTCAGCGTGGCTTGTTGCTCATGCTATCAACCACAAGTCGAGGTGTACATTTTTGCATCATGGTATTTAGCCACCAGTGTATAGTTGACCACACTGAGATACAAGTGTGCGAAGTACCCATGTCACGTGGGGGCTCCGGGTTAGAGTGAGTGAGTGAGTGAGTATGGTTTTACGCCGCTTTTAGCAATATTCCAGCAATATCACGGCGGGGGACACCAGAAATGGGCTTCACACATTGTACCCATGTCGGGAATCGAACCCGGGTCTTCGGCGTGACGAGCGAACGCTTTAACCACTAGGCTACCCGACCGCCCCTCTCCGGGTTAGAACTTATCCAAAACAAGTTACATTTGCTTGTTGTAAATTGCGACATTATAAATTGGGCGATCAGGCTTGTCTGGTCTGGACGATTACACTGAGATCACACTCCTATTCCTGGAGACCGCCTGCGTCTGTCGGGAGAGCGGAAGGTCCGGGGTTCGATCCCAGCCGCGTCTTTCCAAAAGACTTTAAAAGATGGTACTTGTTGTTACCCTGTCTAGCGCTCGGCGTTAAGGGGCTTAAACAAGGACTAGTCGGCTCGGGGTCAGTTTACTGTGTCTGAGTGGGGTATTCATGTTAAACTGCGGCATAGTATCTCAGCACAATAAAATCGGCATTATTCCTGACTAGTACAAGCAGCCACATACGCGCGCGCGCACGCACACGCACACACGAGCGCGCGCATATATAAGTGCAATGATCTTGAACGCGACATCAAACCCCATTTCACCTCACCTCACACATTCCCGGAGTGCATTAAACAACGAACGAACGAACGAACGAACGAACGAACAACCGAAGGACCATTGAATACAAAATAAATGTAAACCATGTAAATTAACAACACCATATAATCCAGGGTGTCTTTCATGGAGCAGCTAATCTCAAAATTCAGCTATATTTCAGATACACGTTGACACGGTCTCTGAAACTGAAACTGTATGCTTCGTATCGTTATCGAATCAGATTTAATCTCCTGAATTAAACATCATTAAAGCTGTAGTTTTAGTTGTGTTGATTATGCCCTCATACGACAACGGGTATCAAGTTAAACAAACATATCACGTTTCTACTGTTTCCGTTATTTGATAATGAATTTCCTCTGTTTTCGTGTCCGTCTTGTGACTATGAAAATGTACAAACAATCCTATCCCGGAAACAACTAGTGTGCAGTGAATATGTGTATATACTACACCCGGATATAAGTTAAGCACGGGCACGGGTGGCCCAGTCGTTTAAGGCGCCGCGATTCGCTGTGAAGAGTTGCGTCCCTTGGGCACACCAGAAACCTATGATTGTGGGTTCGAATCCCGGTTCGCCCCGATTATGTTTCAAGGTTTGTCAGCACCATACCCTTGCTCGTGGGTTTCACCGAAGTGGTAAACGTCTGAGACTTGCATCACTTCGGGCTTTCCTCCCACATTAAGCTGACACGCCGAGATATAACTGGAATGCTGTTAAAAGCGGCGTTAAACCCAACTCACTCACTCACTATAAGCTAAGCCTCTGCCCTTTACTTTCAAGTATCCTTAACTTAACAATGAACATTTGAACATATCTACATCTGACATTGCTCCTATTGTGATATTTATCGAAGACACTATCGATAGTTCGTGAACGTTGGTTTAAGAACACTGTTAGCCTTGCCCCAAGGCTGTAACGAAAGAAAAGTCAATGGATGTGTTGTAATTCTATCCTCCTGATAGGCAAGTCTAGAAATGTGGAGTCCAGTCTCTTATAGGGACAACTTGTTCTTATCATTTACTTAAATCTACAATTTATGATTTAAACTTATAATTATTGCCTTAGAGACTTGTGCAAGTCTAGAACACTGTAT